TGGTAAAAACAAGATGGTGGAAGGGACTATCTCGGGGGTTTATTGTAAAGGTGGGCAGCACACAGAACCTGTCACAGAGCCCTGCCTGCAAATGTCAGCTGTCTTTGTATTTCCTTCAGCGTGTTCCTGGGTTGGCGGAGGGGGTGATTGTGAACACCCAGTATGAAGTGGGTGTTTTATAGACTTATATTGCTTTCTTTTGGGAAAGGATATGTTAAATTTTTTTTACCTATACGCTAAAACTTAGGGAGGTCAATGGCATGCTAAGTTTCTTGATCCGAGTCGTGATTTCGTGTGACTGGTAACCCTGTGTGGCCATCAGGCCTGCACCCTGTGGAGGAGCCCCAGTCCTTCTTCCCTCCCACGACAGTGTCTTATATGCCATTTCTTTTCCCCGTTAGCAGTTGGAATTGATGGTGGCAGTTCCAAAAGCAGGGAGAAAAAAGGAACAGGAAACTTATTCTGACCTAGATGTTGCAGGACGTTACGATACCATTCAAATCCTGTCATCTCACTCTGGATTATTGCAGTAGTAGTAAGTGGCCATCTTTGTTCTTGGTAACACACCTGGACTTCATGCGATTATTGGAGAAATCTTTCTTAAGTCACCCAAAAGTCACCATGGTTTCTAGACCGGTTTCCACTGGCTCCTGGCCTCATCCTCCCCCACCCTGTATACCATTTGTTGGTGTGTGTAGGACCCTTCACCCCATCTACTTCTCCATCTTCCTTTGGTTTCTATTCTACATGCTCTTGAGTTTTTGTTCTCCTTTGTGTTACTGTCTACCAGTCCTCCTACCACTCCCCCTGCCCCTGCTCTCCTGCTTTTTATAATGGCTTTAGGCATATCGAGAGTTAAGATAAACATTTTTAGTGAAGCTTCATTCTGTTCCAAAATGATGGCCTTGAATGTAGACCGAGAGTCCCTTTGTTAAGAGCACTTTGTTAGATTCTGTCAAAAATTTAAAGGTACCAACCGTCTGGCAGAAATGCTCCTCGTGGAGATTTATGCCACAGAAATACTTCACACGAAGATGAACGCACGTGGATTTTATCATTGTGTTGTAGGAGGTGGGGAAAGATTGGGAGCAACCTAACTGTCCATCAGTAGGGGACTGCTTAACTAAGTCACAGTTCTGACAAATAATGCGGTACTCTGTAGCAGGACACAAAGAATAGACATTTAGGTGCAGATATGGAATGAGCTGTATGGTCTATTGTTAAGGGACCAAAAACATGCTGTGTATAGGAGAAACAGAGGAGAAAGGATTTAAATTCACATTTACACTTGGTAATGCATTGAGTGGTTATGGAAGGATAACCTTGTGGAGGGCATCCTGTGGAGGAGACAGTCATTCTTTTCATTGTTTATCACCTTGTATCTTTTGAACTCATACCATGGGAATATTTTCCCTTTTTTATTTTTTTAAAGAGTCCTTGACATTTTATGCTACATTTTCTTTCAAGTCTTGTGTTGCCATTAGTACTTAATTCATTTCATCATAAAAGAAGACAGGAGCACTTGGGCTCTTGGCCTCTACGGGACACCCACGTGATAGTTGTGATCTTATCCTTCCTTACAATGTAAGTGGGACACGAGTGTTTTGTACCTGCTCGTGCTTCACACTGTAAGATGTTAAGTACCCAGCAAAAGGAGTGTTCTCTCCTGGGCATTCAGCAGACGCCTACCACGTCTGTTAAATACCTAGGTGAGCACTTGTGGAACAGATGCGTGTGTGCCCCTACCCGCAAGCTCTTTTCACAAACCTTTGTTGTTTCCTGAGTCAGTCTCCTTTTTACCTTCGACTCATAACATAAAGAGGGTTAAAACCAGAATCCATCAATGGGTAAAAGTTTGTGGGTGTGACAAAGAAAAATAATATTGATAAAGAACTCTGAAAGGGTAAACCACATTCCGCACGTGTGGTTCTTTTGCATTGCAGAATTATTAGAGTGAGATAACTCTTTTAAATGGCCATGGCCTTGCATATGCACGGCAGATGAATGCAGAATAATATGTGTGTAAACTCGCGTGCACACTAGTGTGCACGGGTTCAGAATTGTAAATAACCAGAGATGGCAGTGATGTGTTAAAAATGTGGGGCGCCTGGGTGGCTCAGTCGGTTAAGTGTCCGACTTCTGCCCAGGTCATGATCTCATAGTCTGTGGGTTCGAGCCCCGCATCTAGTTCTGTGCTGACAGCTCAGAGCTTGGAGCCTCCTTCGGATTCTGTGTCTCCCTCTCTCTCTGCCCCTCCCCTGCTCGTGCTCTAGTCTCTCTCTCTCAAAAAAAGTAAACATTAAAAAAAGTTTTTTTAAATGTAAGGTTGTATCTTGTCATTTGTTTATAAAATGTAATGCTGAACACATTATTTCCTGATACTGACATTGCCCTCTTATATTGTCTATTAAATTACTCATTACTACTACTCTTCTTGAGGTGAAAATAAGTACATACTAGAAAATAAATATAGCTCTGAAGGGGAAAAAGCTCAGGTTTGTTATGGAATATAGCCTTTCTATCTTTTTTAAAGCTGCCAAATGTAGACTTTATAGTCCCAGGCTGATTTATATACAGATGATGATTGTTTTAGGTTAAACCTTGGTACCTTTTCTGGATGTTTCCTCAGTTAAATTAATCCTTATGTTTCAACACAAATTGAGGCAGAACAAGTTCCCGTTTCAGCCATTCTCACTAAATTTTGTTTCAGTTTTATTTCCAACTGAATTTAATAATTGAAAGCCTCTTGTGGTTAGGAATAGTGTTTGAGACTTTGGTGGGATCTAATTATTTTGAACTTTTAAAGCCTTAAAAAGTGAAATGCAAGGCCATAGTAAAATTTTCTGATAGCTTTCCTAGTCTATTGGTTTAGTGCTGCTTATTTTAGAGGGGACAGTATCGAAATTGAAATGTGTATTCATTACCGCTGTAATGGTCTCTTTCAACTCTTTTAAAAATCAGTTCATTTAGCTACAAAGAGAAAATAAAAAAAATTTAAAAGGCTAATAAGCATAGGGCATGTGAGCCTGTTCCTGTTTCTTAACTGAAGTTTACTAAAAAAAAAGAAAAAAGAAAAAAGTGTCTGAGCACTGCCCATAAAGTGTGTGTGCGCACACGCGTGTATTTGAGGAACTGGGGGGGGGGGGTCTGCTCATTTGTTTGCCCATTGTGAGGCTGTCCAGCACCTTTGTGGGGTTTTTTGTAACAGGACGAAGGCCCTGAATGGAGGCCTTGTGCCCCACTTGATTTGAAATCCTTGCTGTTCATCTAAAGGCGCCTGCAGGGCACCCAGCGGGATGTCTGTGTGACAAGTGGAGGTCTGGGGTCCGGAAGAGCCGGTGCTGGGGGCAGGGGGGTGGGCAGGGAGAGCGGTAATAATCTTTCAGCCTTGGCTTTTGTCCCCCACAGCCCAATTGTTCCCCTCTGCTGGCAGCCAGATTGAAGAGACCCTTTTGGGTGTCCTGGATGGCATGTGCTCACTGAGGCCTCACCTCACTGTTACCAGATTAAAACCTGGACAACTGGGATTTAACTCTCTTACAAAAGCATAGTACTGACTGGGCATAATGCATTCCTTTTAGAGGTTAGATATTTTGATTAATTGTGTGTGTGTGCGCGCGCGTGTGTGTGTGTGTGTGTGTGTGTGTGTGTGTGTGTGTAGATTTATTTAAAGGACAGAGGGTTGCTTGGGAAATGCTGTATTGTAGGCATGCTCTTACCACAGAGCCTGTTTAAAACCAGTGCTTGGCTACTTAAATCTGGTTTGTACAGTTTGTATACTTTGTAGTACTAGCTATTGGTCCAAAGTTTCTTGGCTTAAGAAACCATGTAATTTTAAGCGTATACTGTGTGAGAAAGGGGTGGGGCAGCAGAAGCTTTTTATAGGGTTTCAACTAATAAACATTAATTTTTAAAGTAGTATTTTGAGGACTTAACAGGAGAAGTAGAAGTTGTATATAATGTTTCTTTAATGCGAACACTGACAGGGAAAGGGAGAGAATTTTACTTTTAAGTGGTATTTTCCATTCTTTTTTCCCTGTCCCATCAGAAACTGGTTCTTCAGCTTTCAGCGCCAATTAAGACATGCTGTAATAAGTATTTTACATTCTGTGCTGCTGTTTGACTTTGGGTGCAAATGGTGGTAGAGTGTTTAGTAGCTGAGCATACATAGTTAAACAGCTCGAGATTGGGTATACAGTGAGTTTGGTGTGGTGTGGTATTTGGTTTCTATAATAGTATTTCAGTATAATACTGAAACCATGCTGAATACCTCCTGGAAAAGTGTTCAACAGGATGCCAGAAAGGCCATGTTAATGATAAGTTTCTCAGACCTCAGCAGGTTTTCTGGGTGTGTTTTGTTTCCCTACTGCTGTTTTATTCTTGATTGTGCTTCTCTGGAAACTATGCCACGTGAACATATGGAATTCTGTACATGAGCGTTTATTGGTTTTGTAGAAACCCCAGGATACCGTGAGCTTAATAATGATGTTGTTTTGTGGGTTATCGAGAGGACGTACTAAAAGTCAGTTGATAATAAAGTTTTCATTAATTATGTTAACATTTTCAAGGTAACGCTAAAGGCAGCTCAGCTCAAATCAGAATTAAACAATAACACGAACTTTTGGTTCGCTCTGGTTTAAAGAGAGTTTGGTCGTAGCTTACCTCCTTCTCCATCTTTTACTGACTGTTACCTTCCTGCAAAACTCAAATATGGCGTTTAGTTTGTATGGTCATGATAAATTTAGTTGTGTGTGTATATATACATATATGTATACACGCGCGTATATGTATACATATGTGTATATAATGTTTTTTGCTCTTGACGATTCACTGCTTTGTCATTTGCTTCTACTTTTGATAAAGTTACATGATAGCTAGAACATATTTCTGTGTCTGCTTAAATGTAATGTAAATTGATAGTTTGTGATAAGCCTTTGCTTCATTTTGGTTACAACTTCATTGAGATATTTATGAAGTGCTTTATATTTGTGTTTGTTTAGGACATGTCTCAGGAAGGCTATGGAACTAGGTCTCAACCTCCTTTGGCTCCTGGAAAACCTAACCACGAAGACTTGAACTTAATACAACAAGAAAGACCATCAAGTTTACCAGTAAGACATTAATGTGCTGATTTAGAAATGTAATGAGTTAAAGATTTTTAAAAAGACCTGTTACTTTTGCTTGTTCTACTTTATATTAAGACTCAGGGGAGAACTTTCTAGATGTCAGATGTATTTGTGGTTTATTAATTTTTTAGGGCTTTATTCTGGATAGGTCTCTTTCATCTGGAAGTATCTCTGGGTCCGTTTGCAAGGTTTATTACTCAGCTGACGGGTTTTGTGGCAGAAAGGTGTTTCTCTCGTACAGTTGTGCTTTGCCTAGCCTGTTGCTTTCTGTAGTGACACAGAACAGAGGTGTCTGTACAAGAGTTAAACGTGAAGAAATTCCCACTTGGCAAATGATCACAGCTGATGAACGAGATAAAGCATCCGGTGGTAGCATCCTAGCTTCTGGGGCTAGATGTGATGAGAAATCACCCAGTCCTTTTCTACCCAAAAGAAAGCATCTTAGTTTAAATTTGGAAAAGGCGGACTTTATTTCCACCAGCAAATTCAGTATGGGGATGGAGATATATATTGATTAGGGTAGTGGCCAGATTATAGGGAATTGTGTTGATGCCTGTAAAGAACTTGTTTTTTTGTTTTGTTTTGTTTTGTTTTAATGGACGATAGCCTAATTCAAATGAGGTTTTCCTTATAAACTAAAAGAGTACATCTGTGCAAATCAGTTTTTATATTTCTTTTTTATTAAAATATTTTGATTTGAAGAATTATTATTATTGCTTCATTTTTGTTAAGTTTCATTTAAGATGGGAGTTCAGGCTAGCCAGGATTTTAATTTGAATTTCCAATGTTTTACATTAAGTAATATTATATTACTTGTAAGCGTTCGAGGACTAGCATTTGTAATCAGCGTTCTACATGACATTTGCCATGCATGCTCTACCCGTCTTTAAGTCATGTGCAGCCTTAGAGAAGAAGGTAAGTGCTGGCCACAGGGTGTAGAGTACCTCTGAAGCCGATGAACATGTTTTTGACGTAATGTTTTAGCTTTTACATCCGTGATGGGAGGTGGGTGAAATCGGTTGTGGTCATCTTCTAGTCGACGCCGGGGTGCTCACTGTCTAGTTACTCGGTTTTCGAAAGAAGGAGAGGTGATGGGTTCTGCGTCTTGCGTTGTAAGCTTTTCTTCTTTAGCGGACGCCTGAGCTTGGTGAGCGTGTACGCGTGTGTACGCATGCAGGGGAGCAGCGCTGACAAACGTAATGTTTGCTGGGTATTTGGAAATTAGCTTGCGGTTTTCGGAAATTTCAGTGGACTCACGGGAAGCAGATGGACAACGATTTCCACTTTTTCCCCTCCCCCAGCTTTTTATTGTTTTTAGAGAAGCCCAGCTTCGTAGGGGTGCCCCTGGCTGGTGATGTGATGTGTGCTGTGCTGCAGGTTGGAAAGGCTGCTATAAATCGATACAGATTTTTTTTACGTAGTTAGAAGAACAGTTGGTGGCGTGCTGCTTTCTTTGTATCCACTGGAACTTCGGAGTCGTTCTCTAGGCTCTGCTGCTTTTCGTGGCTCTGCACGGAAAGGGGGTGTCGACGCTCAGCTGGCTCTGCAGCACCGTTAGGGAGGGAATGAAATGCGGAAGTCCCAGAAAACCCGATGGAAGAGTCGGGCTCTGGGACGGTGCTTTTTAAGCTGAGTGTTGAAAGGGGGCTGACAGCATTTCGGGAAGTGAACCGATCTGTTCATCAATAGTTCCAAGTTTTTCTGAATTGTTCTATTTGAATACTTTTAATGACTTGCTTTCTTCATCTTTTCCGTGTCTAATTCGTAAGAGGATTTACAGTTAGCTGTTTATGACACAAATTTTCTTACGTGCTAACAAAAAAGAGAGAGAGAGAGAGAGAGAGAGAGAGAAATGCCCCGTTTGGTATTTTCTTTCAGTTTTTGTAACTAACTCACAGGTAAATAAGATGCTGATTGATGCAATAACATTTCACTAAGTTTTTTTTTAGAGAACGAACTTTCCTGGTTTTGTGGTGAGTATATGGAAGTGTCAGTTACTGAATGAAGGACAAACCATAGATCAGCTGGTGTACCTAGCCACCACCCTCCTGCACCTGCTGCCAACCTGTCAAAACGAAAATTGGCTCTATTTAAATGGATTTTAGCATGCCACTTTTCTTTTAACAGGCATCGTTTGTGTAGAAAGTTTGCGTACAGGCTTGACTAACGCGTGTGTAGCTATGTTATACACAATTAAGGTCATCACAGTTTGGGGGCAAGATTTGTTGGTATTCTCCATGGCTCTAATATCATGTATTTTTAGTATTACCTCTTTTAAGTAGTTTAGTTCTCCCACTTGGCTAAGTTGATACTGTAGGTACCATGAAACTATATTGTGATTATATCTGAATTTGCTGTTGGGTAATTTGTAGATTTATGCTGCATTTTTGATTCATGTGTCAGTGATACAAATCTTGTCTTTTAAAGGCAACCCATCGTATGTGTAACCTGTAGCTTATGATGTGGAACTAAGTTGTGGGTCTTCCCTTTACATTTTAAAAAATGTGGTATAGGATTCTACCGTATGATTGTTCAGTCTTCGTTTATTATGTATGTGACTATTAAGAAGGAACTTCTCCAGTAGTCCTTTCTTAAGATTTCTGATTATATTGGGATAGATTTTGTAATATTTTTTGTACGTGTGATCTTTTCTTTAGCATGTTTGTTATGCAGTTCAGTTTCCATTATGAGAAACCAAGGTATTTCCAGTATCCTTATGCTAGAGCTGTAATTTGATACCTCAGTAAGTTGTCCTCCCACCGTTGTTTGAACTGGTATCTGTCTGTATTTGCATGTCATTAAATTCTTGGTGATCTTCAGGAGCTAACGCAGTTATGTTTTCCAGCTGACTTAGATCCTGAGATCATCCACGGTAAAGCAAATACCTCATAAATTAATACTTGTCCTCTTGTTGTCTTGGGGCCATGACCAGTGATATTTACTTATCACTTAATTCCCTCAGACCTAAGCTCAGAACAAATCTTTCTTAATAATGTCCACTCACTGCTCTCCCTCTTAATCAACAGCCTTTCCCCATTGAGTTGCATTAGCTTCCATACCTTGATATTACCATTATTAACAATTCTTAGCATGTGTAGACATTAAAAGTAGCTTGCAGAACTCTCTCTCCTTGGAATAGTATCACTTAAAATTTGAGCACATTGGGTAGTTTTTCCACCTCTAATACTGATATGAAAGGAAGCCAGCATTTAAGCAGAATACACAGTGGAAGGCCAGAAAAATGCTACAACTTACTAACGCTTTATTTTATACACATTGAGTAGATCTCAATGTCTATTTTAAGATAACCCCTCCAAATATTATTTAATACACTTTTTTTTGTTGTCTTTTGTTACATTTTCATTGCTTGTGCCATTTACTGTTTATCTTTTTATTACACTTATTTTTATAGCTGTCTTGGCTCCCCTGTTAGAATAGGATCTTTTCAGAGTATTTATGATGTTTATTCAGTAGTATTTTCCTAATAAGATTTTAGGTAAAAACTTCCAACCACGTTCTTCCTCCAGTTTCAGAATTTTGTTTTCATTGCTTAAGGGATTTTTTCCAAGGTATCAAATTGGTATCAGTAGAGCCTATGTTCTCTGATGCTCCTGAGACTAAAGGATTATAATGAGGTATCTGTATTAGCAGGGTGGGTTTTTCGTTAAAACTGTTTTATTATAAATTTTTTTTTTCAACCTTTATTTATTTTTGGGACAGAGAGAGACAGAGCATGAACGGGGGAGGGGCAGAGAGAGAGGGAGACACAGAATTGGAAACAGGCTCCAGGCTCTGAGCCATCAGCCCAGAGCCTGACGCGGGGCTCGAACTCACGGACCGCGAGATCGTGACCTGGCTGAAGTCGGACGCTTAACCGACTGCACCACCCAGGCGCCCCAAAACTGTTTTGTTATAAAATGACATTTGACTTGAACCTGGTAGCCTTAAGCTTCTAGAGAAGAAGTGGGCACTTTTGGATAATTGAGCTAAAAATAGTGTGAAAACATTCTTTTCTTAGTAATACAGGTTTTTTAATTGTAAAAATAAATAAATTGACGGGAACGATAATAATAATTTCAGTAAGTGCGGCACAGATATGTTGTTAATAAAATGTGTATAAACATGGATACAGGGAAGTAAACAAACAAAAGGTTTGATTTTCTCCTTCCAAGTAAACAGCGTTTTCCCCTCCAGGGATCTGAAGAGCTGCCCTTCTCCTCAGGTTGGCAGTCAGTGATCTGGTTTCTTCTTCGCAGAGGCCTCCCACCAGTTTGTGTTTCAGATAGTAGGCCCATTATTCGGTTTGCCTCAGATGCAGAATAAGATCAGCCCCATTCTAACAGACTTTGAGAAGGCCCATCAGGTCATTAAAAATCTCCTTCTGACCCTTTCTTCTTTAAATAGGAAATATCTAAAGAGGTCGACCTAAAAAGGGATTTTTGTATCTTTCAGAGTTTAGTAAAGAAACCCTAAATGTCGTGTAGAACAGTGCTTATGGCACCTTTGTTGAAGTTTGCAATTAGAAGGGAATATCGAGGTTTAGATAAAACATATGTCTTTTGGCCCTTTGTGAAAGGAAGGAGGTAGTAAATGCCGGTTTTTCTTTGAAATAGAGGGTGTTAAACAGGATATTGGAAGCCTGAAAGGGGATGGTTGGAAAACTGTTATTACCAAGAATATTCTTTGGGGGTTAGGTATTAGCAACAGAGCCTACAATGATCTGCCTTCCCTGAAAAAGAATACCCTGTGTGTGTTTGTTTTTTAAATCTTTAATGGCACTTACGTTGGATAGTGGTAAAAGGTCGTGGACTTTGGCAGCATATATGAATATTGATGATATGTTAATAGGGACATTTTAAGTGTTGTAGATTTGATAACACAGTTCCTGTGAACAATCGGAAACTGTTAGAAAAAGCTAGGTGAAGCGTTTTTTAACTGGGTTTTGCTTTTCACTAAGTTTTCAACCCAATTGAAAACACAAATTG